AATAGATGTGGGTCTTTCATTATTAGTTTAGTTGTAATTGCTGGAAATATTTTGCGGCCGTGGCGCAGTGATTAGAGCGTAAGGATGGAGCCGTGAACTTCCTGGTTAAATGCACTTCCGCGGTTATTTTGTGATAAGACCGTTAGGTCTTCTTGGGGTACCTAAAATAACAAAAAAAAAAAAAAGATATTGATACATACACTTCAAAAGTAAAAAGGCCGGTGCTAATAGGTTTCAAGTGGGTAGGGGGTACCATATGGGTTTTTGTCGAAATTTGTTTAACATATAAAAACAAATCTAAATCTCCACTAAAGCTTCATAAAGTTGAAATCAGTCAACTTATATTTTTTTTATCTCTTTTAAAAAAAAGTCGTTTACCGTTTGCAAAATCATTGTAGTTTTATGGGTATCTGTCACTGGGTATCTGTCACTGTACAATCACAGTAGTTTTGATACACCAGTTTATGTTAAAAATGCATTGACTGTGTACATTATGATTACCACCACTGGTTGAAAACTTTATATATAGATATAATTTGTTGAATTTTTTTTATATAAGATTATTACTTACTCTATTGATACTCCTCCGGTCAGGGCCGGCGCGAGTAGGTGTCACGTGGGGCGTGCCATTACAACTTTTGCCGACTAAATAATAATAAAAAAAAAGGTCCTCGTTTTCCAAAACTTGCCGACTGCCATGACGACATTTGCCGACCGTCTAGATTACCGACTAACCTAAATCGAAAGGGTCGACATATGCTGACTAACTAGTCTAAAAGGGTCCAATTTACCAACTAAGGGTCAAATTTGCCAACTAAAAATCATAAATCATTAATGGGATGGTGTCACACACCCCTCCCCCGCACCCCCCTATTGCGCCGGCCTTGCCTCCGCCTGCCTTAGAGTGTACATTCAAGCCGGGGAATCTTATAAAAAATTTTTTCAAAATTATGGTAATATGCCAATTTTCATAGAAAACTACATTCGGACTTGGTTGTCAATATGTTTAGGCATGGTATGCGGTATGGCATTACAGGTATCATGTGGCACAGCGCTTACGCATAAATTTTTTTTTTAGTTATTTAGGTGCTCCAAGAAGTCCTTAAAGCCTTATCACAGAGCACCGCGGAACCAGGAGGTTTACGCCTACTTCCTTATCAATAATGCATTTATGTCCAAAATCGGCTTCCCAGGAAAAAAAATTCTATAGAATTTTCTATAAACTTTTAAAACATATGGCCTATAGAAATTCTATAGAATTTTTATAGAATGTCTATTAATTTCTATAGAAATTGCTATAAAACCTTTTTTTTTTTAAAAAAAAAAAAGTAGAAAAAAAATTTTCTATAGAAATTTTTATAAAAGTTAACAGAAATTCTATAGAAATTCAATAGAATTCTATAAAATTTCTATAGGCCATATGTTTCAAAAATAAATAGAAAATTCTACAAATTTTTTTTCTTCCTGGGTTCATACCACGGAACTCCTGTTCTGAAGCTAGAACCCTAACCACTACACCACGACTGCTAATAAAATCTAATATTTTAAAATGATGTTTACATATTTAGATTTTATTTCAGCAAATAAAAAACCATTGTTAATTTGATTTTAAAAAAATTATTATACATCAAGTTTGTGCACATTTGATTGCTGTAGTGTGCATCAAATGTGCAAATTTAGTAAGATGTTGTTAACAACTAACGAAGTCATGATTTTTTCCAAAAATATCTCATTCTGAAGTCATGTCACTTTTTAACATGAACTTTTGTATTTTTTTGACTTAATAAATGCTTTAACATGATCTAAAAAACAACTTAATTCTTATAAAGTTTACAATTATAATTATTGTAATACCAAGTATTATTTTTGTACAATATTAATAATAATTTATTATTATAGTTTTAATGATTTATGGTTTATTTGAACGACGTTTATTTTAAAAATGCTTATTTTATAATTTGTTCATACAATGTAAGCATTAATGTTTAATGGACATGGTATTTATTTTTTTCATACCATGTATGTATTGGTATCCAATGCACATGGTATTAACTTTTAACTATTAAGTAAGTTTCTATAAATAACTTAAGAACATAAAAATAAAGAGCTTCGTTGTTTCCGATTTAAAATCCCCGGAAAAAAAGTTCTATAGATTTTTCTATAAACTTTTGAAGCATATGGTCTATAGAAATTCTATAGGATTCTATTGAATTTCTATAGAATTTCTATAGAATTTCGGTTAACTTTTATGAAAAAATTTCTATAGAAATTTTTTATCTACTTTTTTTTTTTTTTTTTTTTTATAGAAAAAAAAGTTTTATAGCAATTCTATAGAAATTAATAGACATTCTATAGAAATTCTATAGGCCATATGTTTCAAAAATTTATAGAAAATTCTATAGAACTTTTTTTCCTGGGATGTACGCGCTAAAACATCTAGAATTTGTTTTTTTTATTATTGAAATTTTAAAGTCTCACAAAACAAATGTTAAAGTTGGCTGAAATTGTAATTTAGCCATGAATGTCATTTATCGAATATTCATTAAATGTCATTCATCAAATAAAAATGAATATACTTTACTTATTTTACCCCCCTCTTCAAAATATTTTTTACTTATTTTACTCCCCTCCTCAAAATATTTTTTACTTATTTTACCCCCCTCCTCAAAATATTTAGCAAAAAGAAAAAAATTAGTAGGTGCTTTCATACAAGTTTACTCTAATTCTATTTCAAATAATCTTTAAATTTTTTTATGATCTTTTTTATGATGCATTAACTTTTAATCCTTCAACTATTTAACTAAATCGGAATGAAAATATAATCACCGACCATTCTCACATAGTTTCTAAGGTTCTTTGCATCATAATAAAAAAGTTCAGATTATTTAAGAGATTACTTCAAATTTAAAAAACTCCCAGAGTCTATAAGCAAGGCTCTTTATCAGAATTGATTATTGTTTGTTGAAATTATTGTAAGGATTGGATAACAAACGTTTTGCGCGTGTTCTGTTTAAAGACTTGCGAAAAGCATTAATACTGTGGATCACTGCATATTTCTCACAAAATTAAAATACAATGGAATCATTAAAATACTTCATACACTGTGTAGGATACCTACTACATACATACACTGTGTAGGCATGAAGTACACATACTACATACCTACACTGTGTAGGTATGAAACAAATTATTTTTGATAACTTTCAAGTCTACGCACCATCGATTTACAAATATAATTTAAGGGGACATTATCTTCGACTCGAACGTCAAAGGGTAAAAAACTGTCAAGAAAGATTTATTTTTTTCACTAATTGCATCGTAATGTTTGGAATATGCTACCTTTAAACGCCATAAGAGATGAATCAGTCAACTCGTTCAAGGTTAGCGTTCATAAATTGAAATTCGTAATAGATGAATGATCGGAAACACGAGTGTCTTCTTACAGCATGGAAATGCCTGGTGTAGCACTTCCTCATCAAAATATATAAAAGTATTATATAATTGATTTCTGAAATAAACTCAAACTCAAACTCAAGATTTTTATGATTTCAATGGAATCATAAAAATTATTGGAAAAAAAGTAGTGCGTAGGCTACGCACTATAAATTTTTTTCAATTATGACATAAAATTGAAATTAAAAATGGCAAATGTTGTTCCACAAGACTGTGCTTTGGGACCACTTCATTTGTGACTACGCCACCAGGGACTATTCCACTATTCTTTTTTCTTTTTTTTATTGATAACTTAAAATTTAAACTTTCATTAAAATTTGCCACTGCTAACTATTTTGTTGATGACACAAATTTGCTATTTATCAAAGAGCTACATATGAAAATTGTTATCGATCGAAGAACTACATATAAAATTTGCTATTAATCGAATAATTACATATAAAATTTGCTATTGATGGAAAGACTACATATAAAATTTGCTATTTATTGAAGAACTAGATATGAAATTTGCTATTGATTGAAGAACTACATATAAAATTTTCTATTGATTGAAGAACTACATATAAATTTTAACAAATATATAAATACCAATTCCAAAATAAGGCCTTGAAAAAATATAATTTCACTGTAATATTTTTAAATTCAGTGTGCTGTTCTGTACTTCCAATATATGCCATTTTGTCTGGAATATAAATGCCATTTTGTCTGGAATTACCATCACAAAAATCATGCAATATTGTTTAACAATTTTTTTTTTGTTAAAATTACAAACTGTATATACTAGAATACAGACTACTACTGCTATTATTATTATTATTATTATTATTATTATTATTATTATTGTTACTATTATTATTATTATTACTACTAATATTATTATTATTATTATTATTATTATTATTATTATTATTATTATTATTATTATTATTAATATTATTATTATTATTATTATTACCATTATTATTTTTGTCACAAATAATAAAGTAACTAATTAAACTGTTATTACTGTTATTATTATTTGTTGTTGTATATTTTAATATGATTTTAATTTTTAACATGTTTCATAGTTACAAAAAACATTTTAAAAAGTTTTGAGAGTTAAAGCTCTGATATGACAGAGAAATATTAAGAACAATTTCTTACAAATCAATAATAATTCTAAAAAGATAAATATAAAAATGATTACTTTCCAAATAGGTATTTACTTTAGATTAACATCGTTTTATTAACATCGTTTTATTAACATCGTTTTATTAACATCGTTTTATTAACATCGTTTTATTAACATCGTTTTATTAACATCGTTTTATTAGTAAATAAAGAACATTAATATATTTGTAAAAATGTTAAAATTAGTTTGTACCCAACGCTTATAATTGTATGGAAAGGTTTACAGTAACAACTGTGTACCAAATGCCTAAAAAATTAAAGTAAACAAACGAATTAAGATCACATAACCAATTGCACCCTAATAAATTATTCAAAAGATATACTAATTAGCGATTGGTCAAATAATTAGGCAGCTTTTATGAATTCACTCAACCAAATCAAACGCTGCAAAGTAACGAAGCGCAAATTCCAATTAGTAAACGCAAACAAACTAACATTAACTTTCGTTTAATAAAACTTTAATTAAAAAATTACGAAATAAGGATTTTGCTTGGAGTTTGGAGCTTTAAAACACATATACACTTTACAAGTAAGATGTTGTTTACAATTATCAAATGTAATTATAAATTTAAAAAAAAATTAAAGTTGATACTAAAAATATAAATAATAATCAGGATAAATTGCCCAAATTAGTACGGCTCCTACTTTGGAAGTCATGAATTTACTTTTGAAACTTTATATATTTATAAATTTCAATCTTATTTTCTTTATTTGTTTCTTGTGTTTGTAATTGTTTTTAGCTTTGTGTCATCATTTAATCAACTTTACAATGCAAACAATATAACTGTAACTTATACAAAGTTTTGTGTGTAATGTCACGGGAATTAACTAGTGTTAATACCAACATTATATATTATAATTATACCGCAAGCATATAATTAAAAAATTTTTCAAAGTTTTCTTGATCAGAAAAGTTCTCCCTAATTAAAAAGTATTAAATCAAAGATGTCAGACTCAAAAATTTCAAACTAAAAGATATCAAACTCAAAGATGTCAAACTCAAAGATGTCAGACTCCAAGATGTCAAACTCAAATATGTCAGACTCCAAGATGTCAAACTCAAAGATGTCAGACTCCAAGATGTCAAACTCCAAGATGTCAAACTCAAAGATGTCAGACTCCAATATGTCAAACTCAAAAATGTCAGACTCAAACAAGCATATTTCATAAACACAAATTTTTGTTAATCTATTCTTCTAATCATTAGAAAAACATTATAATGCTTAAGTTATTTTATTCAATTTATAACTGTAGCTTTAAATGTTTTGTTAAGTTTATGTATTATATAATAGACACACACACAATACTATATTGGATTTATTTTTAGATTTATCATTGATAAGTTATTTGTAATAAATTTTTTTTTTATCAGTTTTTAATTTAATCAATAGTTAATTTTGCTGTAATTTAAAAAAAAACACAATCTGTTTCAATTAGTTAAGTTAAACAAAATAGTTAACAAACCGAATCAAAAATAACCTATTTTATGAGCAACAAATTTCAAATAAATGTCTAAATAGCTAAAAAACTATATTTCAGGTTGGAAATGTTCACAAAAACATTGATAATGGCATACGCCGTTATTGTGGTAGCAGGTATTTAAAATAAATATTCTTATTTTTTTCAAGTTAAAGCAATTAGCTTCAGTTAATCAGAGAATCAATTTTATACATTAGGAAATCCTTTACCATATAATGAAATTTATCAAAGGTGTTGTTTACCTTCTCCCACGTGTATGAACCCTTGTCCACCACCTTTGTATCCTCAACAGACATCTTGCTGCATGCCTTCTCCTGAATGCTCAAACCCATGCTATGGTTCAATGGTTATTCAGCCGCAACCGGCTATGCCATTGGCATTTAGAAAGTCTCCTAAACAACCTGTTGTATATGCGCCACTACCAGGTAATTATTATGTCTTTTACTTCATTTTTAAATAGAAAACAAGATTTACTGTTATTTTTAAACAATTTAGGGGAAATTGTTTTTAAACTTCTGCAGAATTGGGACCCTGAACTTCTAGATAACCAATCACCGAGTTTCCAGATTCTTGAAGGAAACATTCGATCAGCCGTAAGTAATTTTTCATTTATTAACTTTCTACTAGTTCTCTTACCCTTGAGTGGAGAAAAATTGCATATTTTAAGAAACAAAATTACAACTTTGACCGAAATATAACTACAAATTGTTAAAAACATCTAAACTAATTCTTTAGCCATGAAAAAAATCTCAATGAAAGTTTTTTATATTTTTATAAGTGTTTTAATTGGTCAAATGTAGTGCCGGATTAAGGAGGGGGGCTAGGGGAGGGTATAAAATTTTAGGGTGCCCCCAAAAATTTTAGAGGACCATATTTTTTTTTTTTTTTTTTTAGGCATTTTTAGGCTCTGGCCCATAAAAAGACCTCCAAAAACAAAAATAACCCCGGGCCTCAAGAAGTCTTAATCCGCCACTGGTCAAATGTTACCAGCAAAAATACATAAAAATTTATATGAAAGTATATGAAACAATCTGTGTGGTTTAACTAGCATAAATTCAATGCCAACATATTTTTACCAAATCCGTACAAAGGCTTGTTAAAAACATAAAACTTTTTGTTGCCTTTGTTGCAAATCTAATGCACTTGCACCGTAAAACATTTGCTTTTGTTGGTGCAAGCGCATTTGATTTGCAGTTGGATTAACAGCAGTTTGCCTAAAAGTTTCAATAAACAAGTTGGTTTTTTGCTAGTATAGGAGTAGGAAGGAGGAGATCTAAAATTATATATTTTTGTTTAACCAATTATTCTTAATTATTTTTTTAAAAAAATTAAAAAAACAATTTAGCTTTTGCTATTTTTTTGTAGTTGACCTTATAAATATTAAAAAACTTAAAAACTAGAAATTTTTACAGCGTATTCTTTGTGTGTTACGCAATTTAATGTTCAACTTTATACTATGAAAACTTTGAATTAAAATGAATAAAAGTTTCGTTTAATTTTGATTGGATAAAAGTTGCGTTTAAACAAAAAAAAAGTCTTAACTAGTGTAAAAATTTACTTAGTCGTAAATACTTTGCGATTTTGTAAATAAATTTGAATACCGAATAAAATGAAAAATATTGCAACAAGTAACAAATTAGTAAATAAATAAATCATAAATTAGTAAACAAATAGATCAAAATTAATAAACTTCTTTAGAAATCTCACAGTATTTGACCAATTTGATCATACAACGTTGCCTCTACTCAGGGTTGTTATACTTGTCTTTTATACATAAAGTTAAAAATAAAATACCTTTTAGAAATTTTCATTAAATATGGTTGACTGTTCAGTAGTCGTAGAAGCAGTTCCTATATACGCATATCTTTAGAGAACCAAGTGGCCGTATGTCCATTTTTTGAGTTTCCAAGAAAATCAAGTTTTTAAATTAAATTTGTAAAGAATTTCTGCCAGAATGCCTGACTATATTTTTAAACATTTTTAAAAGTTTCATTTTTGACAATAGATTTAATTTGACACTTACTACATTGATTGTTGAATATTTATTGATAATAAACAGAAACTACACAAAATATGGACATACGTCCACTTCTTCTCGGCTGACGATATATCTAAAAACTCGGATGATTGCATCATTCTTGCAATCATCCGAGTACAGCTATATTTTGCAATATAGTTTTGCAAAATATAGCTGTATTTTTTAAACAGAAAATAAGAAAGCATTATGGAATTGGAAAAGGATTTAATCAGGTTTTTGCAATTTATAAAACAATTATAAATAACATTGAACTTAAGCGTCAGTGTGGCACTCATTACAATCGGCTTCGGAAATACCGTCGATTACAAAAATTCCTTTTTGTTAATATACTTAAATATCCAAACCGTTTGTGAAATCAAGATTCAAATAATTATTATTCAAGTAATACAGAAATATTTTGGAAAACGTGTCTCATTTTTAAAAAATATAAAAACATAAAATACAGTTGGAACCAGAAACAGAAATAAATGAGGCAGAGCGGTCCCGAAGAAATTTTAAAGAGGGGAGGGGGTGATGTATTTTTTTTTTTTTTGCCGACTAAAGACAAAAAAAAAATTTTGTCGATCGCTAAAAAAAAAAGGTCCTTGTTTTCCGACATTTGCCGACTGCCATCTATAGATCCAATTATGCCGACTCCAGTTCCAATTTGCCGACCGAAAAAATTCGTAGGGGGACTAGACACTCCCTTACGCCCCCCCCATCCTTGGGACGGCCCTGGAGCGGGATAGCAACAATAGTACTGTAGCTTTACATTAGGCAACCAAGAGAATTTATACCTAAGCTTGTTTGAAGTCACAAGGTAATTTATTTACTTGCAAATCAGATGTCAATAAATACACAGAAAGAGAGAAAGATCTGTTAAATGTCAAAAACATTGATGAATGAAATGTTTATTTTAGTAATACAGTAGGTCATTACAACGAAGATCCTTTTTGTTTATTTATTACAATTACAAATGTTAACTTAAAAAACATAACAAAAAAACGTCGTCTTGCCTACAGAAGAATAAGCTAACAGTTTAAAGTTTCTACTTGGAAAGTCCTCACGATAATCCACAATTACCTGCGATGATATTTTTTAGTTGTTAAGGTGCTCCAAGAAGAACAATGGTTCTTATCACAAAGCACCATGGAAGAGCAATTAAACTAGTAAGTTGACACCTTCCTTACCAATTCCACTCATCAGGTAAGAGCCGACAACAAACCTCAGACCTTTTGATTCTGAGAAAAAACTCTAATCACTGTAACACGGGTGCTATAAAGTTATTTTGCATTTTCACTAGTATTTATTACGAATTGTTCCTTATATTGAATAACTTCAAGTATAATGCCTAATTTTTTGTTGTATTTATAAGTATGCATAATGATTATGTATTTTATGGATAAAATGAATTGTAACCACAACTAATAGTAACCTCCTCAACTGTAGTGGCCTTCATGGCCTTGGGGAGGTGAATTAAAATCAATATTTATTATATTAGGAATATGAAAAAAAAATCCATAAAAAAATAGAATTAAAGCTTGAACTAGGGTTTCCCATTTTGCGTAAATTTAGCATTTCGGGATTCCCGGTGTGTAACTTATTTATCCCAAAATTTCTCGGCATAATTTTTAATATAATAACAAGCGGTTTCTGACACAAATTTATCTTAGCACGCTAATCTATATTACTATTTAAAATAAAATATTGTTTCAAAAAACATAAACAATCAATTGATTCGTCACTTAATCGCGAACGAATTTTTCCCATAAATAGACCCGCGGCAGAAAAAGCTCTTTCTGATTCAACTGATGTCGGCTTGATGGTCATTAATGTTGAGTATATTCTTTCTAAACTTTCGCTACGCTTTCCAGTGGCCTCAAAAAGTTTGATTTCTTTTGTGAGGTTTTTTAAACTGCTAATGTTTTCTAGAGCTGCTTTTTCCACTTATTTGACATTACAAATAGTCGCATACAATTTTTGTTCAAGTGTCAAAATACTTTTGCCCAATAAATTTGGAGCAACAGGTTGAGGTATTGACAGGTCAGAAACCATGCATTCAATATCACGACTCACTTCAACTATTTCATTATTTGATGAACTAGTGCTAGCATTCTCTATGTACAACCTGTTATAAATTTTTTTTCTGTTGCTTCTAATGCATGTTTGGACGGTAAGAGTAGTTTGAAGTTGATTCCTGTTTATAACAAATTGGATTGTTTAAAAATTTTAGTAGTCTAATTAAATTGGCATTTCTGCGTTCTTCAATTCTCTGCTGCACAGATTGAAGCAGTTTATTAGCTATAAAATTTTTTTTCTCCGCCGAATCGTCTAAGATGAATATCATTACACCTTCTGCGTGAAGTAGAGTAGCATTACTTCCACCAAGTCTTTCTATTCCAAATTTTATCGGTTACAGAGAAATTGTTGTGTCATTTATAATCGCATATTTATCTTCGGAGATATTCATAACTTCTTTTAAATCAATCATTACTTTTAGTATACATTTTTTTACTTGAAGGAATCTTTCTAGCATTGCAACAAGACTATTGCACCTCGTTTTGACATCTAATATCAGCTTAAGTTCTTTATGAAACATAGATTTTGCGTAAATTTGTAAAACTTCATTTTTGAGTGGCGATTTGCGGAACATTCAGACCACTTTTCGAATCTTCTGAATTGTTAACGCTATATTTACGCTATTTTGTAAAACATCAATAAACGTAACGCCTGTTGAGCTGTAGGACTCATCATTACAGTCAAATACATCATCCAACTCATCGTAATTACTCAAGTTTTCATCGGAATCTTGAAACTGCCATTCAAATTCAATATATTTTGCTGAAGAGTCTGACTTTTTGTAAAGAACATCACATACTGCCAAATGAAGTCCATGGGCATAACACAGCGATACCACTTAGTCGTCCAAATTTTTTAATTACGGATGCTGCGTCAGTGACACTAGCTATGATGTGCTTTTTAATTGGTAAAGTAAAACCTGACAGTTTATTTTCAACTAGATCAACAATTTTTTTTGCAGAAATTGATCCAGCTATCAAAGTCATTCCAAGGTTCTTTGTTGAGGTTCTAAAACTTTGTTGATAAATGCAAATTTTCATTTAAATAACGTCGATTTTTTAAAGACGTATATTTGTCTAACAATAAAGGAAATCGCGACCCGCTAGATATTTCTTTTGTTATTTCTATAACCACAGTTTGTTAAGCTAAATCATATTGTTTTTTTATCTTACCCATAACATGGGATGGATTTTTTGGTAATAACATGTCTTTTTCAGAGAATGATTTTCTTATGAATTCTTATGAATGGCCTTCTTATGAATTCTTGATTGATTTTCTTATGAATTTTTTTATGAATTTTCTTATGAATTTTTTATGAACTTTCTTATAAATTCTTGAATGATTTTTTTATGAATTTTTATGAATGGCATTTATTGAGAAGCCATCCACCGTTGCTAGCTTTTATACAATTTCCTCGATAGTCTGCTGTTTAACAAACAATGTGGTTTTCTTTTGCACAATTTTAATTTCCGAACCAGTATCTTCATGTAGACGCTTCATCTTTAAATCCAAATTTTTATGTGCGTTTTTTAAATGACGTAGGAGTCCACTTATCGAAAATCCTTTGCACATCATCTTTACATTGGACTTTTTGCAAATTGCATATTCACCAGTTTTTCTTTACAAGTATATTGCCATGCTTTCGATTCATTTACAATTGACATGGTATAACTAAATTGAATCGTAAAACAACTAAAAGTAAAGTTACAAAAATTTCTTACATATGTATGTTATCTTACGTATGACTATAAATGTCTTTGCTTGCCATTTTTTAAATACAAAAACTATTAAATATTTTAATAATTCGATACAGAAAAAATTTAAAGTTTCAATAATGCAGAAGTTTAAAAATTAAACTTACTGTTTTCGTTGCAAGAAATCTTTTTTATATTTTACTCATATTCTATAATTCTATAATGCTTGACCAACAACATTGTATACCAAGCAACCATCACTTCGGATAACCTTTCAATAAAAAAATCATACATTGGTATTTGTGAAACATCTTTCAAACTGAGATATGCTAACCATTTGAAATCGTTTAATATCCCCAAGTGTAGAAACGATACAGAGCTGTCAAAGGAGGTTTGGAACTTAAAAGATAATGATAAAAATCCTGTGATTAATTGGAAAATAATTAGAAGATGTGAAGCATATAACCTGACAACAAAATCGTGCAAATTATGCCTTAATGAAAAATATAAAATTATTTCAAATAATGACAATAATTTATTAAATAAAAAGACTGAAATTATATCAAAATGTCAGCATAGAAATAAATTCCTTCTTTGTCAATTCGACACAGGCTAAAGGTAGACTTCGTGTAGTCGATTTTTTGACGTCAGATCCCATTGCATTGCTTAATTTGTATTTTAAACGGTTTTTTAATTTCTTGGTTTAAAAAAATATATATGGCTGATGATTGCCGCCAGGCATGAAACTCTGAGTACCAACAAAAAGTTGTATTTTTTTCATTTTAATACTAAATAATATATATATATATATATATATATATATATATATATATATATATATATATATATATATATATATATATATATATATATATATATATATATATATATATATATCATTTTGCTCAATTTTGCATATCTTATTGTGGATCTTTTCTCTGGAATGAAATAGTACGGCCTAATTTTGTTTTTTCATCTAATTTAACCTATTCCAGTTTTAAACAAGCTATTAAAAAAAACTTGCTTTACTGAATATTGACTTGTTATGTTTTATTTTGAGTTTCACTTCTGAAGTATGTAGAGTATCAAATTTATGATATATTAAGTAATTATATATTCTTGGTATATATTTATTTTATATAGTATATAGATGTTTTTATTGTAGAAGAAAATAGAGTTTTGTTGAGGGCTTCGTGATAAGGTTATTACGATCTTCTTGAAGTCCTGCCCGTCAAGGCCGGCGCGATAGGGGTGTGTGTGTGAGTGTGCGGGGGGGGGGGACCCCCTCCTCCATCGATGGTTTTTAGTCGGCAAACTAGACCCTTAGTCGGCAAATTGGACCCTTTTAGACTAGCTAGTCGGCAAATGTCGACCCTTTCGATATAGGTCAGACAATCGGCAAATGTCGTCATGGCAGTCGGCAAATTTTGGAAAACGAGAACCTTTTTTTTTTAGTCGGCAAAAGTTGTAATGGCATTCCCCCCCCCCCCCTCCACGTGACACCTACTCGCGCCGGCCCTGCTGCCCGTATAATATTATAAATCTTAGTGTAAATAATATTATTTGGCAAATAAAATAAAAATAAATAAATAATAAATAAATAAACTCGTTACGTGTAGAAGTACTGAAAAAAGTAACAAAGTATTGTAATAAAGTTATCATACTTCTTTAAACCCCAACCCTGAGCACAGTCATTAAAAACAAGTGTAAAATAATTTTACCCTAATTTTAATAGCTTTGCTCAGGGTTGGGGTGTAACGAAGTACATGTAGTTATTGGTTGATTATATCTCAGTTTAATTTAATTAAACTGAGATAACACCAACCAATAAACTGCAATGGAACAAATTTAAACCAACGTTATTTCTTCAATAAACTTATTAAAAACCACCACGAAAATTCACGAAACCAAAGGACATTTATATAAAAAATGAAACTATTTTTTAGAAAAGACGTTTCAGCGTGGTTTCCACAAGCCACAAAACTTTAGGAATTTCTATGAATAAAAATTGAAGAACTAATTAGTTTCTTACTCATTGAATTGGAAAATAAAATCTTTAGAGAAGAACAAAGTTATTAATAACAAAACTTTATCTCAAAAAACAAAAAAATATAACTACAAAAATCTTACTATCCAAACTTTATATGCAATGTAACCATGTACCAAGGTATAACAAATAGATTTTAAGTTAATTTTAGGTCATTTGTTTCTTTTACTAGAACCTCTATAGCTCTTTTTCGCTTAAAGTTTTTTTTCCGATAGCTTTATCACACCTAGAAAATTTCTTTTTTTCTTTTAATGATCTTTATTACCACTTAAATCAACTATTATTAAGCAAATTACAATACTATAATTAACAAAGCATTACGCCAGTAATAACCCTATTAGTAATTACGCCAGAAATATTTTGATTATATAAACTCTACTTAAATTGTGCGCTGTACCAATATTTAATTTTATTTCTAAAACTCTTACTAAACAGTGGAAATGATCAGAGATATAAACATGAGATATGAGCAGGAGTTGAGCACACCATAGGAGTAGAGCGTAACTCGATGAGCAGGAGTCAAGGTTAGGGTTAAGGTTAGGGTCAATATCATAATTCGATGAACAAGAGTAGAACATAACCCCATGAACAGGAGTAGAGCATAACTTCATGAGCAGGAGTAGAGCATAACTCCATGAGCAGAAGTAAAGCATAACCAAAAGTGCTCTACTCATTTAAAGACGTTCACAAAGTGACCTGTCTGCTTAAAAAAGTGGCCTGTCTGCATAAAAAGGTGACCTGTCTGCTTAAAAAAGTGACCTGTCTGCTTTAAAAAGTGGCCTGTCTGCTTAAAAAAGTGACCTGTCTGCTTAAAAAAGTGGCCTGTCAGCATAAAAAGGTGACCTGTCTGCTTTAAAAAGTGACCTGTCTGCTTAAAAAAATATCACTCCTTAAAAAAGTTACTAGAATGACATAAATAAGAAGACGTTAAGTTTGTAACAATAAAAGCACGTCCACCTAATTGTCGTGAACATTGAATCATTGAAAAAAAAATTATAAAATATAATTTAAAAGTAAGAAACTACCTACAGATAGAAAAGGTTAAAAAAATGGATAGCAGCTTTAAAGTTAACGCATGATTTAGGAGATAATGCCAAGTACTTGCAAAAAATTAAATTTTTATCTAAGCGTTGAAATAAGTTAAAAAAATTAAAAAAATCTGTTATATAGTTTTTGTGTTTAGTTAACCAATGTTATAATATTTAATGACCAACAAGAGTGTTTATAATTTAAACAAAGTTTTTACAAAAAAAAGCATGTACACAAAAATTTTGTTCGGTTTTTTAGCTCCAACCCCAGTCATTAATAACTATCAATGTTCAAATTCTACTATTGAGAAACATGATTTTTTTGTATGTGTGGATTTTTTTTTACAAAATTGTGACGCTTTTTATTTAATTTTAACGAAATGAAATAGTTTAATGTATTCTTTTGATTTAGGTTTTTCTTTAGCATTAGTTGGTAGAACTGTTTTTTTTTTTCTAATTTTTTTTTTTAATTACGTGCTTACGTTTTGATTTTGTTTTTGTAAATTTAAAGAAGTGTTTTAATCAAAAAAAAGTCTTAGGTCTTTTTCAGAGCTTAGGTTTGCAGAAGAATTTTTTTCTTCATACAATTTTAAAAAGACCCTCACTTACTTTAAAGTTATTTTTTAGGTTCAAGCTGTGCTTGGTCCATCAACTCAAGTTACAAATATATATTTTAGGTAAGGTATAATTTTCAGCATTTTAATTTTACAATTGAATGTCAATGTTTTACTTTTAAATATCTTTTAGGGAAGGGTATGTACCTGGAAATCCACCAAGTCGACCAAAGACGGTAGCACATATGATGGTTAATGGCGGGTCAGATGCTGCATCTATGCTTGAACACGCAGTTACTCCCGATGGATCATTGGGAGATGGGCTAAAAGTATACAAAGATTCTTTTAATGCATACTAATAAAACACTGTAAGTATTTTTTTATTTTATTTTTAAATATGTTCCTTAATAAATGCAGTTAAATGCATATAGTTATTAAGTTTGTGTGTAAGTTAATACAAGTACAATGTAAATTTAGATCTTTAATATATTTATAAAGTTCTTACTGAAACTTTAAAAAAACATTTTTATTCTTATTTTTTTTAAAAAAAACTTTTATTCTGCGAAACAACCAAAGTAAAATAACCAAACATAATTTAAAAATCGTGAAAATATTGTCCTTAAAACATCCGATAAACATTTTCTTTTTTTTACTTTTAACTTGTTAAATCGTGGGCCGTTTTAATGCATTCTAAACATCCGAAAATGCGCTTAATCAAAATTTAAGTAACGCTGAATATTTCATAATTTAATAAAAAAGGTTAGTGAATAAATAGCTGTAGTTGCTACATATTCTGTTTGAAAAATAAAAATACCTTATAATTCACTTCTATTTAATTCTTTAATAATTTCAAAGAACTAAATAGAAATAAATGGGTAAATTTAAAAGATTTTGCAGCCTTAGCAAAGTGGTTAGTGAGTTTGCCTCAGAAGCAAGAGATCCGTGGTTCAACTGGGCAAGTTTATAAAATCGGTAAGAAAGAAAGCATGAATTTCCTTTCAAATGCTCTTCCGCGGTGCTCTGCGATAAGACCGTAAGGACTTCCTGAGGCACCCAAGACAAATTTTAAAAAAAAGAAGTTGAATAATTCCTTTGTAAAGTTGTTAAAGCTTTTAAAATTCTAAATTTAGATTTAAAATTTGTGTAAAAAAAATAAGTTAAGAGCAAATTCCTTATTTCAAACTACTCTAAATACAATTGAAAAATTATTTTGGTTTACTTCTAATGCTATTGAATTTTTTTTAAAAAGGTTGTCATTTTCTATGCTATTTAATTGTTTCAATCACCCGGATACCTTTATTAAACAAGATACTCTCTCGGTTCCGAAATACTGTTTCGATTTGGATTCAACGTCAAGAATTATTTAAAATAGATTAAGTTGTTAGTTTTTAATTTTTTAATATAAGAGATATATGATTTTACATAATGAAATATTTTAATAAAGTATATATAAAGTATATTTTATAGTAAAAATTAAAAATAATTAACAACATAATTTATTTTCAATATTACTTTACGTTGAATGCAAATCGAAATAGTATTTCGGAGCGGAGGGAGTATTTCTTAAACATGTATTTCTGAAAAACATTTTTAACTTTTGGAAAAAATAAAAACTAATAAAAGAAGTAAAGATATTAATCAGAATTAATATCGTGATTTTGTATCTTTTTCTAAAAGCATTCCAAAAGTTTTTTGGTTTGATATTTTTTTAGCTTTTCAATTACAAAGTATTGCTTGTAGAGTTTATTGTTTTGAGCTAACATACCGGCTTTCCGGAAGTTTTTTTGAGCCATTTTTTTATACAAATTATAAGTCATAGAATTAGAATATTTTGGAAACCCATTTTCGAAAATGATACGACAAAACCTTTTTATTTTGATTCCACCAGGGTTTGGAGTAAATATATTCGGAAAAATATAATTTCTGGTAACAACCCGAGCAGCAAAACAATATTGGCGCAATATTATTTACTCTATGCAAACTAAACAAACAATATTGCGCCATTTTTGTTTGCTCCATGGGAAGTGATAGTCAATTATTATTTTTATTTCCAATAATAATATTTTCACATGATGTAATAGCTGTACCACAATAGTTAAAGTGCTGACTCCGGATTGAATGGTCTTAGGTTCGATTCCGAACTTTTTGACTTTTAAAAGGAATGACGTTATTTTTTAAAGCTAATGTTTTAAAATTTTCTTTTTAAAATCAAAATTGTTTTCAATAAAAAGTACACAAGACATTTCAATATCTTTTAAATATAATTAAAAGATATTGAAATGTCTTGTGTTAACTGCGTTTCAAAATCTACTATTTTGTTAGCTTTTAAGTCAAAGAATTTTTTTAATAAAATTAAAAACGTGATTGCTTGTTACGTAATGCTAACAAGCATTACGTAACAAGCAATCACGTTTTGTAAAGAGTTTAGTTTCTAAACTCTTTACAAAACACTGTTATGGTAAAAATACGGCATTTTAAATTTTAACTGTTTTGTGTCGGTGGCTTAGTAACGCTCATGTTAAGCTTAGCGGCTAGTCACTTGACTTCGTTTTAGTTTAGCGGCTAGTCACTTGACTTCGTTAATTGTTGCTAATAGAGAATACATAAAAGTTAATTGCTTACATGATTATTTTTTCCTTTCCAGTAGAAAAAAAGACTATTTGAACTGACCATAAGATAATAGCAAGCATAATAAAAAGAAGCCATAGCAGATATTAAAATTGCATTCGGTTGTATTTATGGTTTCCATGAGTGAATAATAATCTGAAAAAACGAAAAGAAAAAGACTCCTTTTTTACGCTTCCTATCGCAATACTGTCGACATTCTGATATTATTAGGAATGTTGACAGTATTGCAATAGTTGTTTACAGGAAATAACTTAACAGTAAATATTGTGAGTTTTATTATATATATATATATATATATATATATATATATATATATATATATATATATATATATATATATATATATATATATATATATATATATATATATATATATATATATATATATATATATATATATATATATATATATATATATATATATATATATATATATATATATATGTATATATATATATATATATAAAACGGAGGACGATGAAGAAAAAAAAGATTGAGTGAAGTGAAAAGGGAGGCACATAAAAGTATGGTCAGAGGATTTAAACCTGATTTCTCGACAAATTGGTGAATTGATGCGAAAGTACATGTCCAAGACAAGCATGTGACTATTAGAGTCATTGCAAATCAAAGGATAGTATTCATAAATAGTGAGATCTAAAGAAGGCATAGAAAAATTTAAAATAGTCTCAGAGCAAGTAAATCTGGCTAATTTTACAAGAGTTAAGTTTCAATTGACGGAAAGTTACTTCGAAAATCACGTATATTTGTGAAAGATATATTGAAACAGTTAGGAGGTGGTGATGGTTTTATATGTTAAATATTTTTTGTTACTTTGGACATGGTTTAAGTTAAGGAGAACTCATTTATAGATAAAGCACAGCATCCCAAGCAATTTAGCAGTTGTCTTGTTAAGGCAACTGCTAAATTGCCTCAGAACCATTAAACTAAATTTAGGTATAAGAAGAAGAGTTGCAAGGAGGCAGAAGCAAAAATATACGAGTAGATTCAAGAAGATCTAGCATTCATCTTCCTAGGTAGGAAACACTTCAACATAAATTTACATCTACGCCAGCCTATTAGATGAAGAACGAGCGCAAGGCTGGTTAACATAATTATTCTGCTTACCTATAAATTCTTTTGCTGTGAGTCCTTTTACAAGACCTAAGCTGTACGCAGTGAACATTTGCCCAAGATTAGTATTTATGTCAAGACACCATCTTTAGCCTTTACCATAAACCTCAAGGCAGGGAGGTTTTAAGTCGGACTTAATATCTCTTAGCCTTTGTCTAAAAAAGCCAACACTCCAAAGTAGCATGAAACGGGGGCAGGTAGTTATGGGTTACATGATACCAGTATCTGGAGTTTTTAAAGGGTTTACTTATTAGTCAAAAATAATAGCTAACCAAATTAGTTTCAAACTAATAATCGTTCTGAACAAGATCATTCCACGTCAAAGGGTCCGATTTCTAAAACCATCCCCACTCGACTATCTTAGATTTTGATCAAACTTTGTCAGTATGCAGTTAAACATGTTTCATGAAAATTGGCAAAGTTTCAGGTCAAAATGTTTGTTATTTTGGATTTTGCAGTACTTTTTGTAAGGCTTACCCGAGTTTCAATATCGGTCAGTAGCTAAAAATATTATTTTTTGGGTCTTGTTTTTTTCAATGAAAGGGTAATATATCTTAAAAACGTTGATTCTTAGTAAACCGAAGGTGCAGACTGCAAATTATTTAACACAACTTTATATCATGCCTAGAATTTAGTCTATGGTTCAACAAATAGCCAAAAATCAAAATATTTTGGTATTCAAAAGATATATTTTTTAATATTTGCTCGAGTTATTTCAGAAAAAATAAACAAATCAACAAAATGTGAAGCGCAATATTTAAAGTGGCGCATAACTGCAAATAAGTAAGTTTTTAGACAAAATTCAATAATAAGATTTTTTTTGTAATTTGATTTTATAATTATTTCATTTCTTAGAGGGTGTCCGTTATTTACGTCAACAATTTTCTAGCAATTTTTTACGCCCCCTCCCTCCTCATCTATAATTTGTCAAACTTTAAGAGCCCTCCCCCCTTCCCTACCTTTTTCCTCCTTTAAAATTATGTCAACAATTAATTATCCCAAGAAAAATAAAAATGAAAAACAAAACAAAAACATTTTAAAAAGTAGAAATAGTTTTAACGACTTTAAGAAAAAGTGAAAGTAAAATATTTAGACAAAATTTAATTAAACTTATATCTTATGAACATTTTTAAAATATATATAACCATTTAAAATTAGAAAGGCTTGCTCTGAACAAAAAGTGAATAGAAGTAAAAGTGGTTGCTACATTCAACACTCTTGGTTTAAACTTCTTTGTGCATGATAGAAGGTAAAAAAAATTAAGTTCACACAACCAATCGAAGAACTGCAAGTCAATATTATGTCAATAATAAAAAAATTATCCCATTTATGGAATTTAAAAGAACAAAGAGAAACATTAAAACATTGATAAAGGAGAACATTCCTCGATGTTTTTCGAAATTCTTACTATAAAAAAGAAAACTATTAAAATTTAGACAAGATCTCAAGATCTTCTTTCACATAATAAGTTTATATTTTTAAGTTGTTATATTACGATAATTAATTTAAAATTTAAAATATAATGTGTACTTGTCGTACCCGTCGACAGCCATAGTCCTAGATAATCTTAAATATTTATCATAATTTATGTACAGTGCAGAGTCACGATCCGTGAATGCGCCAATCCTTCTTACTTTACCTTTAGACCTAATTCAATTTCACATTGAAAGCAAACTATTTCTAATATAGTCTAGCATAAAAAAATAATGTACTTGATAATTGGTATAAACCAAGGGTTGGCAATCTTTTAAGACGGAAGAGCCAAAGTTTACTATTTTTCAATATTTTCCAGTTTTTAAAGAGCTACTAACATCATGTTTTTAATATTATAATAGTATTTGTACATGGAGCTGAAGAACCGCATTTTAACATCGATATTTTAATATCTAACATAAATCTTTATTTTTTTTCATAGCAGAGCAACAAATACAAACTTTGAAAAAAGTAACTAAATTTATTGAAAAAAGTAACGTTGTTGACGTCAACGTTTCATAAAAATTAGATGGCTTTAATTCTTAGGAAAAATCCAAAATGATTTTAATTGTTTCTAGAAATGTGAAATAAACTCTTTTTAATTATTCAATTAAAAAAATAAACAAAATTTGCCCACATTAAGTAGTAGGGGTTCGATTACATGTTATTTAAGGGTATTTCACTTTTGTCACCAATATCGGTTAAATAAAAACTCAACATCGGCAATTTTTAAAAAGGTGATTTTTTATCCATATCATTTATATTTATTTTATCTAAATCATTTAGATTTATTTATCATATTAGTAAGTAGAACCTTCAGAAAAAACTCTTAAAAACCTTTTGTTCTGGAGATATGAACCTAAAAAATTATGGTGTTGAATTTCTGACGTAGAACTTTGTTTTTAATGTATGATAAATCCTTATGTTTAGTACAAAATCGTAAAATTTTCAACAAAAAAATTTGCCCACAACGCCGACGACACCGGGGGGCCAGGTGGGCATAAACCCCCCCCCCCCCCCCCCACTTTTTTTCTTGAGGACTTTTTTTTTTTTTTTAAATCTTGTCATAGAGGACTTTTTTCACAAATTGATGATTGTACCTCCCCCCCCCCCCTCACTTCAAAACCCGTGTCGTTGGCCCTGATTTCACTTTTGTCGTCATATTGGTTTCAAAATAACTCAGCATGGGTATTTTTAAAAAAAGATGATCTTTTATCTATTTCAATTATATTTATTCATTTATATTTATTCATTATATTAGTAAATACAGTTGGGATAAAACTAAACTGCAAGTCAGTACAACAGTATTAATATATTGTCTTACTGATTTGTAGCTCTGTTCATATATGTAAGCCGGGTATTTACATCTTTTCCGATGTTCTTTAAACCAAAAGTCATTTCTCTGGACAGTTTATTCGTAAAATCTAATGGTTTTTTTGAATCTTTAGTTTGATAGATAAGAAATAGGACAGTAAACAGATTGTTTGATAAAAAACAATAAAATAGTTCCGATAGTAAGGGTCCTTGCAATATTTTATAGGTGCCGAGTATTTATCTAAAACTTGTTTACAATAATAAGTAATAGTAATATTTATTGTTGTAACAATTACCAATTTGTTTAAATATAAATATCTAAAACTAAAATAAATAGTGGATGCAAGCATCGGGTTATAGACAGCCCACACAATTAAAAAAAAAAAAATCAAGTTATCAAAAATGTTTATCTATTCGCGCTTTAAAAACATTTAACGATCTTGCTTCAATGATTTTATTTGGTAACAAATTCCATTTTTTACAAACTCGATTGGTAAAGAAGTTATATCTCGGTAAACATGATGGTACGTATTCTCTTTCTAACCTGTATTTATTGCCCCTTACAGAAAAAGCCGGGCCTGAACTAGTCACGGATGATGCCGGTTTTGGATTTTTGTACCAATTTATTTGGTCTATATTTTGCTTGAATCTGTATTGTTGTATAGGATCACCTCTAGCTCGTCTTTTCTCCAATGTTGTTAAACCCATTGCTTTTAGTCTTTTTCATATGAAATCTTTTTAAGTTGTGGAACTAACTTCGTTGCTCTTCTTTGCACTTTCTCTAACTCATCAATATCCTGTTGTAAATAAGGCTGCCATGCAGGTATAGCAAATCCAAGAAGCGGTCTCACAAATGTCGTATATAGTGACTTCACCATTTCCACATCGAAGTATGTAAACGTACGTTTAATTAGACCCAAAGTTCATGGCGCTTTTGCTGTCGCTAAAGTCCCTTGATCATGCCATTTAAGGTTGGATGAAATAATCACTCCTAAATCTCTTTCACTTATTGTTGTTTTTAATTTGTGCTCTTTGCCGTCGTGGGTCATATAATAACTCATTCGTGGATTCTTTTTACCTAAACGCATCTTTTCGATGTTCAACTTTGTCAACCAGATATCCCTCCATTTTACAAATTCATTGATGTCATTCTGCAAAAACTTATGATCTTCAACATTTTTTATAACTTTGATTAGTTTACTGTCATCTGCATATGATTTGCAATTGGAATTAATAATTGATGGTAGATCATTTACGAATACCAAGAATAACAAAGGACCAAGCACAGAGCCTTGAGGCACACCACTAAAAATCTTAAGCCATGGAGACACGTTTACACCCATCACAACTCTTTGCCTTCTTTCTTTTAAAAAAGACGATATTCAGTCACCATTGTACCTTATGCTTCACACTTTTTCACCAGTTTTTTATGTGGAACCTTATCTGAGGCTTTGGCAAAATCCATATAAATCATATCTACCGCTAAACTGTCACTCATGCTTGCTGTTAAAATGTCTAATGTTTCTAGCAAATTTGTTACACAGGCTTTATTTTTTTTAAAGTCATGTTGATTTTTTGATAGCAATTTATTTTTCATCAGATGAAGTGGCGAAAAAAGAATTAGTTGTTAAAAAGTTTTAATTTTTAATAACATCACTAAAATTTAAAATAATCGACTTTTTTCGACACTAAAATTTAAAATAATCGTAATATAAAAATTAGTTAATAATAATTTAAAAAAGTTAATACCATTAAAAATTAGCTAATATTAAAAAATTAAATAAAGAGAATAACTCTGTTTTTATATAACTATTTGAGCCCGCGTTGTTATATGTTTTTTTAGGGGAAAATTACCAAAAGAAATTATACAACCTTGCTATAGATTATTTTTAAAATAAAGTATGATAATTGCACAGAATAACTTTTTTTGGAAAATATTCGACTTTTTTAAAAAACATTGCCCCCCCCTCCCCTCTAAGTCTGCTTCCTTAATCAAGTTTAAATTCTCAAATTTTTCTCAAACTCAAGTTCTAAAAGATAATCGATTCTTAAATCACAATCGATTCTCAAATTAATCGATTCTCAAATTAATCGATTCTCAAATTAATCGATTCTCAAATTAATCGATTCTCAAATTAATCGATTCTCAAATCAAAATTTAGAACTTGAGCTTTAAAACCACACTTTTTAAACCTAATTGTTTAAGTAAATTTTGTATCAATTATTCATTTTTTTGTTTTGTTTTAGATTCTTCACGCGAAAACAAAGAGTACATCAAGTACGAAGTTAATCAAGGTTTAATGAATTTATGAAACCTCAAACAAAAATGATCTTTAAACTTCAAGCCTAACAAACATTATTAATGTACATAAATTTTAAAAAACAATGTACACCTTTAAAGATTAGCGCCACGATATTTTATAAATATTATTAAAATATAGAACAAAAATTTTTTAATAAATTATTTAAAAAAGAACCTGAAAACTTGATATATAAAGTCGATCAATAAACAATTTGCTTTTTTAGATTTTAGCAACCTAAAACCCAACTCGCGGAACCAGAACTAAAATTCTCCAGAATTTATTTTTTTAATGAGTGTTTTTTTATTCAGCACAATACTTAAAAAGATATTTGGAAAATATTATTTTACTGTTTTAGTATAATTTCATTTGATAGTATATTCCCAATGTGCATAAATGCTTCAACACCTGTGGTTGTTAGGGATGACGTAAGGTGTTTTTGAGTTATTTTAGAATTTCTTACTTAAAGCTTGGTTTTACTGGATATCTTTTGTATCTTTGATCAAGTTACTGAATAATATATATTTTTTATTGATGAAAAAAAATTTTTCATTGCGGTTTTCATAGCACTTTTAAATACTTTTAAATTTCTGTTTGCATCTGTTATTGATTTCTTGTTGGTTCTTTGTTTTTTGATTTCATTTGGCTTAAAATTCATTACATTTTTGAAAAGTTATATATATATATATATATATATATATATATATATATATATATATACATATACATATACATATATATATATATATATATATATATATATATGTATATATATATATATATATATATATATATATATATATATATATATATATATATATATATATATATATATATATATATATATATATATATATATATATATATATATATATATATATATATATATATATATATATATGTATGTATATATAATAGGGCTGTACCGGATTTATTTTTTTCAAATCCGGCCGGAGCCGGATTTCTACTGATAAATACTGCCTGAGCCGGATTTCGAAACAAAATTACAGCAGCCGAAATCCTGTACATCCCTACTTGATATTGATAGAGGTCAACATTGTTGACCATTCTCCGTGTGACAACTGTTTTCTGTTAAGCTTTATTGTTGTTATTAAAATAGAAGGACACAATTTCATATAACATATCATATTAGGGTCTGTCGACTTTTATTTTTTTTTTCCATTTCAAAAACGGCAAGTTTACTTTTGGTGAAGAATTTTATGGAGATTCCGAATCTACAAAAAAAAATTCAAAAAAAATTTCTTGCTGGGTGGGTCAGCGTTGTTTTGAACGGTAAAATGACTAAAACGCGACTAATTAAAAGGGAAAAACTATAACTTAAAAAAAAAAATCTAAAATTTTCAATTAACTCAATAAATGTTATGTTGAATTTTATGAAAACTGATTATTTGCTTCAAAAAGTCATAAAAATAAATACAGAAAAAGATTTTTTGTGAAGGGTATTTTTTACAAAAATCAAGCACTTTTTTCATATTTTAGACAAAGAATGTTACGGTAAAGTGCGTTGTTTTTTTCCAGTTTCTACCAAATTTTAAAAGTAATGGGAGTTCATTTTTGTGGGGAATTTTATAAGGAATCTGAATCTGAAAAAATAAATAAAAATAAAATATGCCTTGTAAAAGGGAACGCTTAGTTTTCAACGAAAAAATGACTAAAATATAAATAATTAAAGAGGAAAAATTATAAATTAAAAAAAACAAAAAAACTATTCAATTATTTGATAAACTCAATATAAACTATGTTGAACTTTATGAAAGTATCATATTTTGTTAAGAATTAAAAATATATAAACATTTTGTCAAAAAAATACACACATTATGGGAGCTTTTGTGAAGGTTGTGAATATTTTAGACGGTGAAGGTTATCGTAGGGTGCGCTTTCTTTTCTAAAACTAATGATATGTCAAACATTTTTGTTATAACAAAAAGTATATAATATACTAATATATTTGTAATAAATATTTATAATACTGATATCTTTATCAAAATTTACATGTAACGAACAATTGATAGTTAATAAATTTTATTTAAAATTTGTGATTTGTGATGAAACTAAGTTATACTTTGTGCGGCCGTGGCGCAGTGGTCAGAGCGCTTGCTTTATAAGCAGGAGATCCAGTTTCGAAACGAGCCTTGGACATATTTTTGCGTCACGGTAAGGAAGGAAGTGTGAACTTTCTGGTTAAATGTACATCCGCGGTGCTCTGTGACTAGACCAATAGGTCTTCTTTGGCACCTAAATAATAATAAAATAAAAATAAATAAATAAAAAATATTTTGCATTATTTGTGCTCATAAAACCCCTACAGATTTCTTATGCTCTTATATATCCAACTCGCTTCTTATGGAATTATGTTTTTACACAAGGAATTCAATTATAATAAAATATGCCGAGGTCCCTCTAATAAAAATATGCAAACAAAAACTTTGAAAAAGTAACTTTAGGTGAACCACTTATTGTTTTGCGAGACAAAATGTTAAATGATCTTTTGGCTAATAAGGCTTACGAATACAGAATTGTAACAGCAATAAGATCTGGAGCGATACCTAAAAAATTATTAAATCTTGAAATAGAGCCTGTTTCTCATTCCAGATGTCTCACTAAAGCCAACCATTTTTGTAGATCTTGGGTTTTAATTCATAAAAAAAATAACAGAAAAAAACCTCAGAAATCTATGTTTAACAATTGAATTTGTGTGCATTTACCTTGCTTGTTTCAAATATAGGTAAAATATTCCTGGTTAGATTGACTTCGGCATATTTTATTCCAATTGAAACAACACAAATATCAAAAAAAGAAAAGGGGGTTGTTGCAATTGATTGAAAACTGTAAAGAGATCTGCATGGTTTGCAATTACTGAATGCATTATTCAAACTCTTTTTTGTTTCAAAGAAGAAGAGGAATGAAAATTAGGAGTGAAAAAGGTGCTAGAATTTTGGAAAGGAAGGAGATGATAATACTCAGTTTGGAGAGTTTCAGTAAGAATTCGCAAAACCCCATGCATAAATACGGATGCTGATGAGTTGATCAATCTAATTGAGTGGAAAGATTCAATATACGAACCACTACTTACCACAAGCCTCACAATCTATGAAGTCAAAAAATATTTTTACAAGCCTATGGTTGTTCCGATTGGCCATGCCATTCCCAATTCATCCAAAGTTGTGTTAAGCAGGTTTCTTTTTTATATAATTACAAGAGTATAAATAATGGCTTATTTAAAATTTATTAATGACTAAATTGTTTATAATGTTTAATATAGGTTACAGAATTTTTTTTTTTTTAAGTTGTAGTTTTATTCTGTTAATTAGTCACATTTTAGTCATTTTCCCGTTCAAAACAAAGATAACCCACCCAGCAAGAATTTTTTTTTTTTAATTTTATATTTTTTCAGATTTGGAATCTCCATAAAATTTTTCACTAAAAGTAATCTTACCGTTTTTGAAATTGAAAAAAAAAATAAAAATCGACTTACCCTATCATTACATAACAAAATAATTGATAAACAATTAAAACTTTCATTTGAAAGTGAAAGCTAATTGTTTATCAATTATTTAGTTTCAGTTATTTTTTAAAATATCTTTTAAAATTTTTTAAAATTAATAGTTTCAAATTGTACTTTAGAAATATTGGTGTAAATATATATTAGCATTATGTGGAAGGAATGAACTACGATGATCATTGAGAACCTCCCCAACAACACTGAGCAAACGTTCAGATGGTGAATTTGTCAGTGGGGCACTAAAATAAATGCGAGCTACTGTCGCCACATCTTGCAATTATTGCAAATTGTCATTCAAACACTGTAGTCGATCAGCATGTCTATTTATTTCTGGTTCTGCCAGATACTGGCTTAGCCGAGTGTTAATGCCTGTAGGTAATTGTTATTCATGTGTTGTGCCACCGGCGGACGTAGACTGAACAGTTTCATCAATATACTGTCAGAGTAATGATGATGATGTAGAAGAATTATCTAGCTGGGCTTGTTTTTCAGGAATTTCTTCAATTTTGTCAATCTGTTGCTCAGCATGCTCTGATTGACTTCCATCTCAATAAAAATACTTATCTTGGGCAGCTGTTAAATGCATCCGGCTGCTGTCTTGTAGGCCTCCTAGGCAAAGACTTAAGAGGGAAACAGGTTCTATCTGTTGACCAGCCTCGCACCCCTTCTTCATCCTATTAGGCTGGCACAGATGTATTTTTAATACATTGTTTCCAGTTTAGGATGTTGAATGCTGGATCTTCTTGACTCGATGCATGGGTTTTGCTTGACTCACTATTTTTATGACTAGGTAACTCATTCTATTATCTCCTAATAAGGGTACAGCTCTAAAACTCAGTGTTATAGTTCTGAGGCCGGCTGGTAGTCAGGTTTCCCGAACTCTGTGGTAGCTCTCAGAGAGGCTGATTCCATCAATATCTATCAACAGCTGATTCCATCAACAGAAAAATATCAAAGTATTAACAGTGTCATGTTGCGCATGGATGGTATCCCTGTTTGTACTTTTGGTGTGCATTGCCAAGGCCACATTGGAGCCCTTTGTTACGGCTTAGAGTTTATTAATAGTAATAAGGCAATTGCTTGGGCTATTAAACAGTGTACTGAGTACTATCTATGTTTCGAGTCAAGTTCTTTAACAAATTTAAAAATGAATAAGGTAACAACAGACGTCTAGTTATTACTGCTAGGAACCATTGTAAAAAAGTTTTGTCTAACGCCAAAGCCCGCTATTCTCAGGTCATAAAATCTCGTATTTCATCACAAAAATTAGGCTCTCGTGACTTCTGGAGAATCTTTAATAGTATCAATAATAAGGGCAAGTCTAAAAACTCCACCTCTTTTGTATAGTTTAGACTTTGTCACCTCACCTCAAGACAAAGCTGAATTATTTACTAAGAACTTTTCATCAATATCATCTCTTGATTCCACTAGTTGCGTTCTGACTGATATAGCAGTCAAACAGGCTGATCCATTGCTTGACATTTGTATCACTCCAGCTTCTGTATATAAAGTGATTTCCTGCTTAGACTCTTCTACAGTATACGGACAACATACCTGTTATAGTCTTGCAGAAGTGTTCTCAGGAGCTGTCGTTTATCCTTTCAAAACTGATCAACAAGTGCTAATAAGAGTCTTATTTTCCAGCCTGCTTGA